GATTAGTGACCGTTAATCGATATTTATTTAGAAATCGTGAGATGCAGTCTGGTGTGATGTAGGTTTCAGAAAAAATTTTTCTTTATCGTGCCAACGTTTCGATCTTTATTGGGATCTTTATTTTTTTCAATAAAGATCGAAACGTTAGCACGATAAAAAAAATGTTTTTCTGAAACCTACATCACACCAGAGGATCTCACGGTTTCTAAATAAATTTAGCTAAAATTTTGGAAAAATTGATTAAAAATAGATTATTTGATTTTCTTAATATCCATAATATGATTGCTCATAATTAACTGAAAAACTAATTTTTATTTTAATTTTACAATAAATGTTGTTTTTAGGTTTCTTTACAATCATACAATTAATTTTAACAAATTTAATTCTCATTATCATTTCAAAAAATGTATTGCTGTAATAATTTTAAATTGATAATTTGAACTTTCTTTGAGGTATATTTGGCAATCTTAATGGTAATTATTGTATTCTTTAATTTCTATTTTATCTTTATTTGCTTTTATTGCATTTTATTTTATTTTTATTTTTCTCTTCATTATCATCTTCATACATCTTCTAATTTTGATACATTTTGATTTAATTTTTAACAATTTTGTTCACTGTCATAACTCCTGCCACCTGTTACAAGCATTTTAGGTGACAGGCGAAAATGTGCAGATTGGTTAAATGACTTAATTTTACTTATTGTTTTATTATTTTATCCTTAATTTTTTTTTACTATTTATGTTTTATCTTACTGTATTACTGTACGTTTTGCAAATAAAATTATTATTATTAATACATAATATAATTAATTAAGGTTTTTAGTTGAGATAAAAAAAGTCAATGGCACGAGCGGGATTCGAACCCACGATTTTCGGCTAGATACGCCGCTGCTCTACCACTTGAGCTATCGTGACCTCGATCCACTCGGACACCAACTTCCCATCTCAACCCCACCTTTTGAATTTTCCCTCCTTTTTGCCATTTTTCGAAAGGTGGGGTTGAGATGGGAAGTTAGTGTCCGAGTGGATCGGGGTCACGATAGCTCAGGTAGTAGAGCAGCACCGTATCTAGCCGAAGATCATGGGTTCGAATCCCGCGCGTGCCATTGACTTTTTTATCTCAACTAAAACCTTAATTAATTATAATATATTAATTTGTCATGAAATTATTGAAATTAATACATAAGTAAAAAAAAGTAAACTTCCATCTGTAAAATTTTCTTTTGTCGAGTAGTTTCACTTTTCTTGCGGGTGTGTGATACGAATATAAAAATGTCAAGCCTTCTACAACTGAAAATGAGCTCGACCGTTTTTTATTTTTCCATGACGGACAAGTGCGCGGTTGCTTTCCGGCCAGAAGGTGCCAAAGCGTTATTCGTCTATGACCTATGCGTAGTCTTGTAGTATGGCCCCATTTTTCGACCCTTCTCCGTGAAACAGTGATCGAATACTCTAATTTTAATTTACCCGGTCGGTTTTAANAAATTCTGTTGGTCGTTGAAATGTATACTTTAAATGTGAGATATAACGTATTTTGTCGCGAGGGTGAAAAAGTATGTTATTGCTCTTCTTTTTAAATCTTGTTACAACTGAAAATGAGCTCGACCGTTTTTTGTTTTTGCATAACGGACAAGTGCGCGGTTGCTTTCCGGCCAGAAGGTGCCAAAGCGTTATTCGTCTATGACCTATGCGTAGTCTTGTAGTATGGCCCTATTTTTCGACCCTTCTCCGTGAACCAAGTGATCGAATATTTTAATGTTAATCTAACCGTTCGGTTTTAATTTTTTAAAATTTTGTTGCACGTTGAAATATATACTTCAAATGGAGATATAACGTATTTTGTCGCGAGGGTGAAAAAGTATGTTATTGCTCTTCTTTTTAAGTCTTGTTCTTTACAGCTCCTTGAAATTTTGTTTTATATCTGTCGAGGATAAAACCAACTTGGGTCATGACCTTATCTTCACTCTTTAATGGATTTATCGTGTAAAACTGAGTAAAACATCGAACAGAAGGTGCTGAAAAAAAAGCAAATTCAGTTGTTTCGACCTATTTAAAGGTCATCATCAAGGAATAAATTGATTTCCCATTTTTTGAAACAATTATTAAATTAATNAACGTATACACGAATTTTTGAAACTTCCGCTTTTTGAAGGGCGTGGTTATTGTATATTAATCCATTTATGTTTAGTGGTATCATTGTCAATATTAATTATTTCAATTATTTTGTTTTTAATGTAAGGTGTTGATTGAGAAAAAAAGTTAGTGTCTTGAGCGGGGTTCGAACTCACGATCTTTGACTAAATACGCCGCTGCTCTTCCACTGAGCTATTGTGACTTTGATCCACTAGGACACTAACTTCCCATCTCAACCCACCTTTCGAATTTGAGCATTTTTCCTTTTCGCAAATCGCACAAAGGCATGGAAAAGCTTTTTCCTTATAAAAGTCCACGTTTATTTGCCTTACAGTGTCATTTCGTATTCTATTAAATTTGAATAGATATAAAAAAATTTTAATTAAATAATAAAATAGTTATTTTCTTCATAACAGGTTAGTTTCATTTCTCACTCTACCTCGGTTAAAATCAAGCAATTTTGTACCAAGTTGTAAACAATGAGTGGTGATTAGTGACCGTTAGTCAATGATTATTCGGAAATCGTGAGATGCGGTCTGATGTGATGTAGAGGAGCGGAGTATTTAGCCGAAGATTGTTGGTTCGAATCCCGCTTGTAACACTGACTTTTTTTATCTCAATCAAGACCTTAAATATAGATTAATTAATTCAAAGATATTATTTGGTATTTACATCACACATAATACACGAATTTCTGAAACTTCCGCTTTTTGGAGGGCGTGGTTATTGTATATTAATCCATTTATGTTTAGTGGGCTCAATGTCAATATTAATTATTTCAATTATTTTGTTTTTTATATAAGGTGTTGATTGAGATAAAAAAGTTAGTACCATGAGCGGGATTCGAACTCACGACCTTCGACTCAGTAGGCCTCTCCAAAAAAGCTTCCAAGGTTTTTAGTTGATATAAAAAAGTCAATGGCACGAGTGGGATTCGAACCCACGTAATTGAGGGAAAATTGAAAAATGGCAAAAAGGAGAGAAAATTGAAAAGGTGGGGTTGAGATGGGAAGTTAGTGTCCGAGTGGATCGAGGTCACGATAGCCAAGTGGTTAAAGCAGCGGCCTATTGAGCCGAAGGTCCTGGGTTCGAATCCCGCTCGTGATACTTTTTCTTTTCAACGAAGAACTTATACAAACAGAATAATTTATTGCATATCTGTTTTACGTGTTTTCAGTGTGTGTATTTGTTAGTGTGAATGGTGAGAGGCTGATTGTAAAAATACAGAATCATCATCTCCCCTCCAGCAGTGGGTGGGTGTTTAGGGTCGATGACGGAATATTTATAAAAGTACCCCTTCGACCATAATATTGATTAGATTGTTAATATTATATACAGGTCGATTGAGAAATTCGAGTACTTCACCGACAACCAGAATAAGTGAAATGTACGTAAGTTTGAATGTATTTATTTATGCGTCTGTACTGAAGAAGTTATAAGATTATATTTTGCATGTGTCGAAATCCTTCAAAGAAGAAAACCGTTGGTTGGGAAGCGACGACCTGGACATTTCGGTTGAGGGGGATAGTAGCGATCCTGGTAGAGTAACGAGGGATATACCCAAGGGTGTGAATTGACCATATTAATTATTTTCAATTGATTTTTCTTTTTATGTTAGATCTTGGTTGTGATGACAAATTCAGTGTGACGAACGAGATTCGAACCCACGACCTTCGGCTCAATACGCCGCTACTCTACCACTTGAACTATCGTGACTTCGATCCACTCGGACACCAACTCATCATCTCAACCTACAACCTTTCCCATTTTACCTTTTTTGCCAATTTTCAAATGTCGTGTAAGCAGGATTCGATTTTCAGCGACTTATGAAAATGGCCACGCCGAGCTGTTAGTGAAGGGATTACATCTTTTACTTAATTTATTTAGAAATCGTGAGATGCGGTCTGGTGTGATGTAGGTTTCAGAAAAACATTTCTTTATCATGCCAACGTTTTGATCTTTATTGAGATCATCTTTAGGGCCTGGGATTTACAACAATTTTTTTCCACAACCTACATGTATTTGTTAAATATAAACAATGTTTGTAAATCCCATGCCCTGAAGATGATATTTAGTGTTCTAATTGTTCATATTAATTATTTTCAATTAATTTTTATTTTTATGCAAGAAATTCTGTTGGACGTTGAAATATATACTTTAAATGTGAGATATAACGTATTTTGTCGCGAGGGTGAAAAAGTATGTTATTGCTCTTCTTTTTAANTTTTTTTATAAAAACATAAGACAATCCAATGAGCTTTATTTACTAAAGAAAGCTACATAAATATTATCATTCCTCTCTGAGTATTATGTAATTAACTTAGGCTTCAGTCATCAGCTAGACCATTTCAACCCTTGACCGAATTGAAGGTCGATGAATGTACTCTATACTCTACCATCGGCCATCCCATCCTACATGCTAAAATATACATCCTCTCTCAATAATGACACAAAACTATATATTTACAATGAAAAAAAAATCCTCAAAAAATCGGAACCGTACTCAAGGCATTCTCATTTCGGATGGCACTATTTCACGTGCCAAGTCATTGCACCCTTTAACACGTGAGACACATCGAACCACTTTCCTCTACATTCTGGATACATATAGAGCCCAAAACGTATGGATCCGTGAGTCAAACTCGCAAGGCTTATATCGAAGTTGTGCAAGTGAGGCTCAATTGGTTTTGGTTATTCTTAAAAAAATAACCACGAATTTATTTCAGGGGCAATGCGTTAACGGATCATGATTCTTCACAATAAATCTGTGACCTTTCGACTATCTGTATTTCATTATATACATAAAAGCGTCACAGTGAAAAATAATTATTGTTAAGATACATAATTTTGCTGTTAATAACTTACCGATCTCCTTTGCTGAATACGCGTGGAGACAAATGCTCAAGATGATGAGCATGACATCCATTTGTCCCGGATCTCCACCTCCCTCTGAAAATTAATAAAACAATATTTTAATTTGAAAAAAAAAAAGAAGAAATAAAGCCAATAAAGTCCTGTTTTTGGTTTCTGTACATCAGACATAACGTATACACGAATTTTTGAAACTTCCGCTTTTTGAAGGGCGTGGTTATTGTATATTAATCCATTTATGTTTAGTGGTATCATTGTCAATATTAATTATTTCNTGGGAGTTTCTTCTACGCTTCAACTTTGTTTTAATCCTATTTTTGCATGTTTGCCGTTCAAGGGACGGATGTTGTGACGTCCAGGACTTAGCCTCCTCGTCCGCTTTTCATTTCCCTCCAGACCCGTGTCCGGGCACTTAGTCAAGAACCACGGTTTTGTCTAGAAGCTCCAACTCAAGGTATATTTCCAACAAGAGCACAATCAGAGGGTCAACGGAGAACCTGTCACGGAAGCAATAACAACGCTGAGAGAATCGGTGCTGACTAGGTAAGCGGAGCCTTGTATTACCATATTTTTGTTTACATTTAATCCGAAGGGTGAATATGTAGTATGAGAGGATCGATATCAGAATATTCAGTACCCTATCAATCCTCAATTATGTTAGTTACATAATAGGTGAAAAGGGTGATGGAGGATTATACCCAAACTGAGATGAAAAAATGTATTTAAGAGTGAACAGATTGCGTCGGGCTTGAAATGACCTAGTTGTTGATATGCTGAAGGCTCCGGACTGAAAACATCAAATGTTCTCGCCCTACATATTAATTTTAGGACCCTGGGACAAATCGAGTGACTATTCGTTACATGTCGCACCTGGGACTAAAAGTAAGAGTGTCAACTTTGCCTGGCCTATCCTTTTTTATATTCCTTGGGTCAAGCCCTCCGAGACATTTATAAATTTCGACGTTATTTTGGTTAACTCGGCCGTTTTTTTTTCTACCTGTCTCATCAAATGCGATTCCGTTCGAACCAGTGAGCTTCGGTGGATATATTCAAAATTTCAAAAACCACTGCTCTTGGCAGCCTAAAAGCTCCGATATACCTCCGATCGGGATTTTACATGCGATCAAATTTTATAAACCATTTTATTTTTTTATTGTTGAGAGAGAAAACAAAGTCTAAATTAACATTTTATCACTTATATCAGTATTCACCTCTCACTCTGACATCCTAGGTCGACACCGGATTTTCAAATTTAATGAGAAATTGAATAACCCCCTTCTACTCTCACCCCCTTAAATGCCATGGAAAATCCTCTTTCGGCCATTGTGTCTGCTTTTCCCTTATTCAAAATTCCCTTGTGCCCGAGCACCCTAGTTAACGTCGTGTTGTTCAACTTGATTTACAAAGTAAGATAGACGACATTCAACAAATTTTATTCGTGTATCGTATTTTGCAATGGTCAACCTTTAATGTGTTTAAAATTTTTTTTAACTTTAACTTCCTTTTGAAAATATATAGCAAGTTTATTTAAATTTGAAGTTGTTGTGGTTTGAGGTGACATGAAAAGATCACGTATGCGAGACTGAAAGCGTGCATGAGAAATGTATGAGAAGTGAGAATAACGGGGCTTTTGTGAATTACCCGAGACGATTCAAGCTTTATCCACTTCCCCATTTCGCACATGACACCGCGCGATCCATTTTACGAGGCGACAAGACGCGACAGCCCAGGTGACAGACTGGGCCAATAGGTTCTTTCTTCCCTTTAAACGACCCACGATTCATCATTAACGTACTTATTTCGAGTCACGGGTCATAAAAGAAACATTGTTGTTAAACTCGGCCCGGGGGTTGGGGGGCGGCAATTACTTTGTTTCACCGTCTCTTGTTCCCCCGGCATTGGAGTGGCTCGATGAAATACAGCCCCTTCTAAAACGGACATTTGTTATTACCCAAACCGCCCTACCTCCGCCATTAAGCCCTATGAATTTATGGATAACGTCTGCCGGGAAATGATCCGAAATGAACCGAATTAACCTTGGAAAGTAGAGAATAATTTTTTGTTTTTGTTTTGTATAAACCCGCGCCAGATTTGTAGTTAAAAAGTCGTCAGTATTTTCTGGAGAAAGAAAACCAGCCGCCAGATGGAGTTATTTCTCGCTAGAATTGTTCTTGAAGTTAGCACATGCCAAGTAGATTTATCTTGACTTCTTTTACTGTCAAGTAGAAATTTGACTGTAACAAAAATAAACTTCTTGTTTAATAATTTTAGTGATCACACGACACAATAAAGATTGAAAAATTTATTATATTCAAAAACGCAGAAAATTCATTTAAAAAATACATTTTAAAAATTCAGAACTTTGCATCATCTATGCAGCGATGACGAATCTGGATCAGTACAGCAAAAAATTGAACATAAATGTGAACCTGACTAAATCTCAAATTATGATATGCCAAAGAGGAAGTATAGATTGAAAAAAAAAACAACAACGAAAAGTGGCGTTTTAAAATGGAGAGAGTAAATTCCGTTAACAAATACAATTACTTACTAATTAGTATTAAACCATCAATTAATTTAGGGATGCATTTTAAGGAAAAAATTAGTTGTGCTAAATCGGCAACTAATAGCATATGGAAAAGAGTAATAATGAACAAGAATATATCTTTTGATAAAGGAAGTAGAGATGATTCAGAAATATTTGTTCAAAAAGTTGTTTTCCCTTCCAGCGAACAATCGAGATTATATGATTTATCAATTAATTAATCTGTATTTAAGGCATTGGTTGAGATAAAAAAAAGGCAGTGACACAAGCGGGATTCGAACCCACGACCTTTGGCTCAATACGCCGATGATGTACCACTTGAGGTATCGTGATCCACTCGGACTCACATCTCAGCCCCACCTTTTGAATTTTCGTTTCTTTTTGCCATTTTTTAAATGTAGTTTAATCTATTTGATTCTCGGCGACAAATGAAATGGTCACGGAGAGCGTTAGTAAAGTATACTTCATTTTAACTTATTCAATTCATTAGTTTTGGTGTTCCGCTTGACCAATTAATTATCATTCAATTAATTAAGGTTTTTAGTTGAGATAAAAAAGTCAGTGTCACGAGCAGGATTCGAACCCATGACCTTCGGATTGAAACCCCGCTACTCTATCACTTGAGCTATCGTGACTTCCATCCACTCAGGCACTAACTTCCCATCTCAACCCCACATTTTGAATTTTCCCTCCTTTTTGCTATTTTTCAAATGTCGTGTAATCTATTTGATTCTTGGCACAAATGAAATGGCCACGGAAACCTTTAGTGAAGTATACTTCATTTTAACTTATAAAATTCACTAGTTTTCGTGGTCCGCTTGACCAATTCATATCTTTCAATTAATTATGGTTTTCTAGTTGAAATGAAAAAGTCAATGTCACAAGCGCGTTTCGAACCCACAACCTTCGGCTCAATAAGCCGCTGCTCTACCACCTGAGCTATCGTGACTTCGATCCATTCGGACTCTAACTTCCCATCAACAAACGCCAGAATTTCAAGCTAATTAAGCAAGGGTAAAAATACCACATGTTGTTGTTAAGTGTTGATAGGAAGTAAAAGGACAAATTAATCTGCACTTTCGCAGAAAACTAAAAATAAATGTGATAATAGCTAGAACAATAAGATGTTAGGAATAAACGTTTACAGATTGGTTGTAAAAGAAAGAAATGGATTTGTAAGCCGAGTTCAAAAATAGTTAACCCCAAGATACACTACAATGGACACGATTCCTCATTGTCAAATTGCCTTTCCTGTCATGCAATTAGATGAATCATCACTCCCGTTGCCAGCTGCGTTTAAATTGATTTGAACAAACCGCCACTGCGTGGATTAGTGTAATTATAATAAAACTTTCTTTTTAATTTGGAAAATAATAAATGTTAAATTGTATTTGGTCAAAAGTTTAACGGGAATATACTTGACTAAAGTAAAAGAAGTACGGCACGTTGGGGGCCCATAAATGGGATTTTAGTGGTACTTTTGCATAAGGCATTTCATGACGAAGTATACAATTCAACAGTCGTTTTTTTTGAGAGATTTTATTGCTTGTAATAAAGGGGTATTTTTTATTTTATTTTCATGTCTTATGTCTTGCTGTATTATACAAAACTCTGTTTTTCTGCTTTCTCAGATTTAAACGTTTTATTGTCATTTATATGCCTCTCAATAAATCTGATTATGTTAACCTTAGCTGAAGTTTTTTTAATAATGTGAAGTTTCCTATGATAAAACCAAACAATGAAAATGTGAGAACTATTGTTTTTGTCGTGTGATATTATGTAATTAGAAGAATATTAAATAAATACTCTTTGTCATGTTGGTATGAGGATTTGTTGAAATCACCAATTTTATGTTTAACTTCTTTACTCATAAACCATCATGATGTACTAGGCTGAGTGCGAAACGTTGAGTTTCAGTGTCTTCCGGACTTTTAGTAAGACATTATCAGCAATTAAATTTGGCTACAATCTAGTTTTTCGGGTAACAATCGTCGGCTAATGGCTCTTCCATGAGGAATCATTTTTACGCCCGTAAACCGGAGTTACGTATACGTTTTACTCAGATAAAATTGGCCCCGGATATTTTCCTTTAAAAAAAAAAATATATATATATATGTACATATACGCCTAATTAATAAGACAATCTTAAGGTGAATCAAAGTTTTCTGTAAATAAAATTTGTGAACATTTTATAAAACAATATCATTAAAAATCGTTGTCATAGGGTGAAGGTTGCAACTTCAGTTCCAAGAAAATTTTTGAACATGGGGTGCCGCACGGGTCTGTGCTGGGCTTTATACTTTTCCTCATTATATTACATCGGGGCTCAAAGTGTTCGCTAACAACTTTTTATGATTACATCTCTGCCTAATATTTGTTTAAAAATTGTGTTGGAAGAAGGGGCTGGTTTTCCTATTTATCGTTAAGTACAAAATCAAAATTTATGCGTTTTATTATTAAAAGTCCCATACAAAATTAAAATAAGTCGTACAAATGATTTTAACTTCCGTAATTGTTTTAAATGGGTCAAATA